AATTGGATCACAATCCTCCCCAAAAGTTTAGGGTAGAAGGGATGCGACAAACATAAAGGGACAATTAGGACAAACAACTTGAAAAGACAAAGGTATTCTGGTATTCCATAACTTTTTCATTGCTACTTTTTTGCTTTTTTAGGCATTTGAATATGACTACTGTGCATATGTAGTTTGTTAGGTAATTTAGTTGATAGAGGGGGTGCGGTTTTTGTAAGGCTGTGGTTGGTAAGGCTGGACCTCAAAACCAAATCGAGTAGCGCAATTCAGGCATTGAAAGCCCTTGTCATGGCTAATAAATCATAATTTACTCACACGGGAGAATTTGAAGTTAAAAAAATGGTACAAATGAGTAACGATCATCTCTTGTGTTATGAAGTGCACCAAAATATACTTTTTTTCCTTGAGGATCAAGTAACTTTGTTGAGCCAAAATAGTTCGTGTTTAGATTTGATTAGGACCTGTTTGGCAGGGAGTCTAGCTCATGTAATAATAAATAATAATAATAATAATAATAATAAATGAGAGATTATGCCCTCTTTTGAGTTTTGTAAGGGAGTATGCCTCAATAACTTTTCACAAGATCAAACTTTTACTCAATCATCAATTCTCCATTATTTTTTGTTTTACAAATAAAAGACACATTCTCTTTAAATACACTTAGTAGAATAAAAATAAAACCACAAACAAAAATAAAGTTTTATCTCTCTCTATTTTTCACATACCACTTTTTAAATCCACCCGTATGTCTCTAACTTCATATCTTGAAAAATAAAGTTTGATATCTTTTGCCACTCTCTTTTCACATTTTCTTTCTTTTTTTCATTTTATGCTAGGCTTATCAACCTATTGAGAGATAACATCGTCAACCCTAAAAAAATACAAACTATATCATCATAAAAAATCTATCCTACCAACTCCCATAACGATTTTATTATTCTGCAATCTCTACATCTAAAAATGAAATAATAACTTTAAATCAAATTAAAATCTCAAATAACATATTTTCTAAAATTTAAAAAATAAAAATTTAAAAATTAAAAATTAAAAAACCTTAATTTTTATTTACATCACTAGCCTAGACCTAAATGGGCTGGGGTTGACTCAACCCTCTCTCTTTACACATATAATTGATTTAATTTTGACCAAGGCTGAGCATTTTAGTGGTAAGAACCACTAACAAATTTTTTAAAGCTCTCAAAAGATCTCAATTAATATTAAAGTGATTTTATTTTAGTTTGTCATTGTTTAGGGTTGCAAACCCTAAACAAGTTTAGCAATTTGTAAATATTTTGATGACCCTACTCATCTAGAGTTCCCAAGCTTGAATAAAGGCAAATAGATATTTTGAAAAAAATATTTTTTGGGGGTATCTCATTAAATGATATAAGAAGTATGAGGACTTTAAGCTTTCTCTTAACCCATCCCATATTTAGGTAAAAGTGTTGGGTTGTGTTAGATTGATAACTAGCTCAAAAAAAATTTAAAATCCCAAACCTATAATATCTATTTGCGATGATCTTATTAAAATAAAAATTTAAAAATAAACCTCCAATAGTATTTGGGATCTTTTGGCCTCTTAATTGCTTCACCTATTCCAATGTATATCTAAAATAAGAACCTTTGTCATTTTACATAAAGGAGAACAAAATGCTCCACTTTTGGGGATTGGATCCCACTTTCATTTTACACTAATACCAAGAGCAAGCACCAGTCAAGGGCATTTAATAAGTTAAAAAAATATTTTAAGGGCAATTTATTAATTATAAAAACATATTTTAGTCATTACAAAAAAATTATAAGGGAAAGTTTATATACAATTGAGGCTCCAAACAATCAAATTTAAGCCTACCTCAAAACTTTCATTAGAAGATATTGTTTTGATGCCCAAATATCTTCAAATTGATCATCTTGACATCAAGGTGCATGGACATGAGAAAAAAAATAGATTTCAAGCTTTGAAAATAGTGTATTTTATACCGTATTTTTAATCAATCAAATTTTAAGATTTTATAGCATTTATAGATCTGTCGATCTACACTATAATCTTTAAACTTTATAAATAAATATAAAATTATATTTTAAAGCTGTCACAAAGATTTTCAATATTGAAACCACATTTCTCAACACTATTTGAAGGTAGGCTCTAAGTTGATCGTTTAGAGCCTAGGTATATAGAAACCGCACCTAAATTATAAAAGATATTTTAGTTGTTACAAAAATTATAGAATCACGGTAACAGTCTCCCCGTTCATTGAAACTCTTCAATGTTCATATAAAAAACGGTCTTCTCAATTAAAAATAATATTTAATTATTATTAAATGTTTTATTCAATTATTTAATAAATTAATAAAACAGTATTAAGATAATAACATATTTAATTTCAAATAAATCAACATCAATATTATATAGATGAATACTTTTTCATTTACATTTTCTAAATTTGTTGCTATAAAATATTAATTAACATTTTAATAATCATATTTATTTTCATTAATATTTGGAGATTAAGTCTTTTTTACCGCGCATTAAAATTGTGTCTAAACCCTAAATTTTAAATTCGAAATCTCACCCTCCTTTTTTTTTAAATTTAAAGCGACTGGGCATCTGTGGAATGAACAACGAAGCCGTTTAGAAAAAACAAATAAAAAATTTATAATTCTTTAAAAATAATAAATAAAAGTGATTTAATGCTACAAGGAAGCGATCCTTTATTGTTTATATTCTGGCGTTTCTCTCACTATAAACTCTCTTTCTATCTCTTATTTCCCTCTCTCTCTCTCTCTACT